TAGTAAGTACTTGAAGTCAACAGTCATTGGCGACAGGAGTTATTGGGAATGATTCAAGTCCACGTATTTTTGCATTGTATGGAGTCGCATTGAAATACGACAAATGTGTTTTACACAAAGGCTAGGAATAAAGATTTTTTCGCCAGTTAAAATTACAGGAACCCAAAATTAGACTCTGTCTACTTCTGAAGTCTGTGTGCTGAAACAGAAACCGTTATTGAATTAACTCACCGTCGTAAACATTATGAACTCTAAAGTACATTATAGACTATCGTACTTATTTTTGTTTAGTAGAATATGCAGTTAGGAAACGAATTTGGTTTACAAACTCGAACCGAACGGGGACCAGGAAACGCTGGTTTTTTATCTAATGTCTTGTGACGGCACACTGATGACCACAGGCAAGACCCACAGCGAAGACATTCAATCCCAAAAATAAAACGTACCGATAACCGTTATATGTTGACTACTCTTTGCCGGCTAGTCAGGCTAATTTAAGGCGAATCTACCTAGAGTTCATTAGAGTTACATAAATTTGCCGTTTAAAATAATTTATTGGCTGCTCAGACTAAGACATAAGCGGACACGACGATGAATGTAGGGTTGGCAAAATGTTGGGACTTACCTAGGACGCTTCAAAAGAGAGCAACGTCTGTTGGTGACGCTAAATGATGCGGCCCTGTCCGAAGGCGCAATGCTGATGGGAAGACTTGAAAATGTTCCGTCATTTGATGAGGGACACCGCCGCGTGGCATTACAATAAATCTCACACGAGCTCTCGATAATAGCCAACGTGATTTCCTGATCAAATATGGGGCGTCTATCAAGCTCTTCCTTCAGAACTAACTCAGCCAATTGTTGACTAGGTGTTGAAGTCTTTGCCTCATAAAGCAAACACGGATCAGATACAGACTTGAAAAGATCCGATAATTCTCGTCGAGATAAAGGCGCTGTGTTGGCAATGCATTTGGTCTGTGCATTTGTCAAACTCAGGAGAAGACTGTAACGATTGAACTGCAATTAGAAAAATACAATAAATTTTCATTTGACTATAATACGACAAAATCCAAACAAACATACCTTTGACTCAGTAAGAAAGATAAAAGTCTTGTTGGTGAACACAAAACGTCTATCAGGGTTCGCGAAGAACTTTGGAGCATCTACATCAGTAAACCCCTTTTCTTCGATCGGAGGAAAATATCTGAATAAGAATATTCAGCAAGGTCTTTCTTACTCTGACCGAATGGGTTCACGAAATACACCGGTATGGCAGGCATTGCATAAAGCAACGAGGTATTTTGGAGTCACAATATCTAACCCGCATAGCAAAGCACAGAGAACCTAGTAATGAGAAAATCTTATGACAAACATACTTTGTGCGTTACGACTAACTTGGGCATTACAAGCAAGTTGCACGCCTCCATCCAATCACCAAAAACCTTACCACCCAAGCTTTGGACGTTACGTCTAATCTCAGATTTCATATGCGGAGGAACAGACGACAAGAGCACATTCAAGGGAATAAACATTGCACTTAAAAACATGACAAAGTACAAAATGCACCCTACGTTATTCTGACACCAGGCAACACTCCAAATGTAATTTCAGAGCCCGATGATACAGTGGTTGCAACGTTACTAGTAATGCGATTCCCATTTACAAAGGTTCCAAATCTCGAAAAGTCAGTAATGGTGAGAGCTGGAGTGGTGCGACATCGGCTGTCGACGGCTTCATCGGGATAACAAATTTCCAGATTCGCATGGTGACGGCTTATAGACTGGGCCGTCAAAAGTACATCTGCATTAACGCGACCAACGACATACACGCGGTTAGTCAATAACACCTGTTTATAACCTAATTACGTAAATTAAATAAGAGAAATACACACCAGGGTCAGACGACTTTAAAATCACCCACATTCCTTAAATTAAATGCCTACGACCCAGAAGCACAACCAAAATATAAATTTTTCCGATGTACCAACTACACAACTCAAAAATAAGGTAATAATCCAATAAAACCTTCAAAGTTTGTGGTGTTGTGGTGTGGCGTCGGATTGTGGCGCAGACATGTTGGACCACCTGGCCTCAGCCAATCCCGTGTCTCTCTGCGATCCAATGCAATGCGGGAAAGGAAGACAGCCAACCAGAGAAGGACATGGATGAGATGCAGTATATAATGAGCGGCGTGGCCAGCGTGGTGGACTCGGATGGAAGGCGCCTGACGCGTGGCTATGGCTTGTGATTGGTCAATAAAGCCTGTTCTGTTGTACCGGTCTTTTTCCTATTAGGGCTCGGGTATTCTACACTGGTGGCAGCGGTGGGATTCGAATAACGCTAATCAAACCCCAGCCATTTCTCTTCTATGGTCAACACAGGCAAAGGCCCTTAAATGCCAGCTGAATTTGCCATGGCGTTCGTCCGATGTCCAACAAAGTGGATCCATAGACATTGCTCGGGATTAGGACTACTGCATCGGAAAAGGCATTGGCAACTTAGCGACGACGACTTGGACAGTGAAAGCCAGCTGGACTGCATCTGCGAAGGACCTTCAATGGATGATGAGTCTTTCCTGCAAGTCTACAAGAGCAAAGTCCCTCGTCAACTTTTCGCTAGAGCCACTAACCAGCCAGATTTGGGGTGCGGGAAGTGTCGAGCCGGATATTTTTATCAACACTGGATATCAACAACAGTGAAGTGAACCAAGCCAGAAGCTGAGCACAGCTTCACTCCTAAGGTGGAAGCAGTGTGGCGTCGGATTAGGGCGCAGACATGTTGGACCACCTGGCCTCCGCCAATCCTGTGTCTGTCTGTGTTCTAATGGCATGCAAGGAAGATAAGCAGCCAACCAGAGAAGGACACGACTGAGGAGCAGTATATAATGAGCGGCGTGGCCAGCGTGGCGGACTCGGAAGGGAGGCGCCTGACGTGTGGCTATGGCTCGTGATTGGTCAATAAAGCCTGTTCTGTTGTACCAATCTTATTCCTTTAACGGCTCGGGAAATCTACAGGGGCGACGTCTGAGGATGCAGATATATAGGAACTCTGGCCTCAGCCAATCCTCTGCCAGTCTGCGATAGAATGGCATACAGCCAACCAGAGATAGAAACGCGTGAGTGGCGAAGTCAGCGTGGGGGACTCGGATTGACGGCGCAAGACGTCTGGTTCTAGCTTATGATTTGTAAAAAAACCTCTTTTGTTTTACCAATCATCTATATACTAGAACGCATATATTCCACAGAAATGACCCACATAGGCAGAGACATGTTGGACTACTTTAAGCCCAACAAATAACCTATTTCTGAGAGTTTAAGTATTCTGTGTTTAAGATCAGACCTCAACTAAAAACATGGATAGGTGAGAAGCCACATCATCAAAGGTTTCATAAAATGGATAGCAAAAATCATCACGCTTAAACGTCAACGAATAAGATCTAAAGACAAAGACAGAATTAATTTTTAACATTAAAGCGCACAGTTGGTTGATCGTTTTTGTGAAAATTAAAAAAAATATATTGTTCAAATAGGAAGAAATTTGAAACGAACCGTTAACGGTCTACAGTCTTTGAAGATTTATCAAGTGGCATAGAATAATGCAATTCCGTAACTACGAATCGTTTTACTTATATAATAGAAAACGATATTCACTTAGGCAATGCAATTTATTGTCATTTCATATTACAGTTGATTGATTAATCCTTATTGTAAACACAATTAATATCGTGTTCAATGTTGCAGCCCTGGAAAATGATTTTAAATGAAATAAATTTGATGAAGAGATATATTTTGTCCAAATGTATAAGCAAATTTAGGTCGTTCATGTGATAAATTATAAAGGCTTACGACTAATGAAGTCGCTAAACTATTAAGGTTGGCCCAACTGGTAAAATTATAGATGACTTAATATTCAGAAAAGTAAAAAATAATCAGAGGCAGTACGTGCACTAAGGTAGGTAGTGAGAAGGTTTCATACGACCTACGGTCAACTTTAAAAAATTGGCACTGCTTTGCATATTTTAATGGCAGAGATAATTTACGTAAGGCAAAGAGGATCACAACACATGTCTTTAGCTTTTATGGTGACGGCAATGTTTTACCATGCTGCACTAATTTCTTGTAAATCAGCATAAAAAAGAAACTAAAACCCTAGCAATTAGAATTGTAAAATTAAATAATAGAACATAGGCAGCGAAGGGAAAAATCATAAACATTCGTAAATGCACTTTGGTTAGGTGCCTAAAATATCCGTAAATGATCAGGATATCGATTTAGTTGTCTACTTACCACTTAACAAAAACTCCCGAAGAGCACTTGATTAGGCTAATGCGATTGTCTTATTAGCAGGCTTTCCTTTATTTTGGAAATGTTATTTAGCGGAAATAAAACTGGAATCACTGTTAATATAAAATACCTGATATGATGGCATTCGCTTGGCACTATACTCTAGATAGTTTGATTTAAAAGTTCTTTACAAACACGAACGTTTTCAAAAGCCGTAAATTTGCTATTAGTATATTGACGATGATGTACTTGGATGATGTCGTCGTTTTATCACCATTATCTGTACGGTAAATCGTAAGATGATTCCTTCTTTTGATGTACTGGCAGGCCAAGTTGTCGTTGATGAGGACAAAATCAAGAACCTAATGTTGTTTTTTTTGCAACTGTAGTGGTAAGTAATGTGGATGACGTGTGTATGTTCATGCGCCATATTTTTTCCAAATGTGACGAAAATGTCGATTCACTGCTGTTGATTTCAATGGTAGGGCAGTGGAATGAAAGCAATGCGAACTCTACTGAAGCCGTATCTGAGTGTAACTACGTCAAAGTGCATCCATATATTTGGCGATTAATGTTGTATTTTTAATCCCTCTCTGTTTGTGTTGACCCAGTGACATTTACCAATTTTTAAGTTATCCGTTAATTTTTTTGGAAAATTTTAGTAGCATAAACTATTTTTTTACGTTACTACTTCGGTGGTGCCTCTTTTTGTTAACTGGCTTGCATTTTCGCTTTCAATCCGTTTTTGTTTCGACAATTTTCCTGCTGTAATAAACCAACTTTAGATTAAGTGTTGGTTCCTTTAATTATTTTATAAGTCGGGTATTTACCTTTCCTTTTCGACTTGATTTTGTGTTAGTTTTCAATGAACACATCTGCAAAAACCGTCACGGTAGCTCTCCCCACTCCTTCTACCGCAACATCCACGACTCCTCTTGCAGCGGCTCCTACTATCCGTGCACCACCCATTACTGCAACCGTTCGTCCAACTCCTCCTATATCCATTCCCTGTCCTCCTGCTTCTCTTCACGCCGCTGGCTTCAAGAAAAAAACCTCCCCATTCCCTGACGACAACTCCCTCTGGACAATACCCCCAGTTCCCCCAAATGGCGGTGGCCAAGATCCACCTCTTCCTACCTCGCCCACTGCAGAGGAAAGTAGTGTTGGATCCCCTATTCCTCCTCCCTCTCCTCCTCCTCCACCTCCTGCAATCGGAGGTGGCCCTTGGTCGCCTTCTCTTTTCCGCCCAGTGCCGTCATCTCCCAGTTCGGCTTTTCATACTCCACCGCCTGTCGTTAAACCTGTTGTACGCCCTCCGCCTTTTCCTAGTCCACAACTGCCGTGTGTTCTGCCGCCACCTCCGTTAGCCTATCTAACAGATGTATCTACTCCCAGCGCTTCTACTCAATCAACCACTGTTTCGAATGTGGACAGTGAAGCGGTTATGTCAGGTGTTACCTCTGCTTCCAATACGAAGGAGGTCTTTCCCTTCCATCCTATCCCATCAATTGCCCCTTCGTCGGTTGCGACTGTTTCACAGCAGCCACAACCAGGTGTGTCACCTGGAGGTATAAGTCGGCTAAGCAGTGGAAGCGGCGGTAGTGGGAGCGTACGCGAGGCAATTTTATGTAATTCCTGTGGGCAACTTCATGACCCGCATGCTGCCCACGTATACGACTATAGTGAGTCAGTAGACGCTGATCTACTTTGTAGGGTGAGTGTATTTGATCTTGTCAAAATTTGGCACTATAAGCATATATGGTCAGACAATCTGAGTGTTAAAATGGTCACATCTATTCACAACTCTTTTTGAATGCATGAGAACAATTTTAGGGATTTTATGCTCCACATTATTCTGTTCACATAAAATAGCAAATTAATTATTAATCGAACTACCTAGGAAGTTTTTGTTGCAGCTTATGTACAGGTTACCGTCAAACCACACCATCGCTTTAGCTAGCATACGCTGGGCTTAATTTAACGTGTCTTTGTGTTGATGCTCGTGTGATATTTGCGACAGCTATGTTGGTGCGTTTTTTCTACTTTGGGATTTCGACATCATGGGTCGGGTTTCATGAACATTTGAAAGATCCAAATACTTTCCGTAGTCACTTAGGCTACGCTCGGTAATTCCTACTAGGCATGAGTTTTGGGTCAGGCTGAAATAAGATATCAAAACTCGTTGATTTGTTATTTTTTTCCTCCGAGGTTCTATTCTATGACGACTGGCTGTAAGTCGCCACCATTCCAAATTATTAAAGAAAATTTTACTGCATTATTTTGGTTTCAGGACTTACATTACAATTAGTATTTGTAAAACGTTATTTGGGGTTTTCAATCTGTTCATTCAAGGTTACTTGACCCACGATTTTGTTTTGTATGGTTTTGGTATTGCCTTCTCCACAAACGTTTCTAAAAGCCAGTACATAATGTCGTGGGTTGTTGTGTTAAATCCTTAAATTTAAGATAACCTGAGGTGCTTTGGCACCCATGATATTGTGAAAGTTCGCGTATTCTGCTGTCTGGTTTTTCTTCCTTTCACAGTAAACCTCTTCCCATAGGACTCCCATTATCCACTATTTTTTGTGTCAGTTTGATTTTTCGCAGCTGTATGAGATTCACATTCTTGTTTGTGTAGGTAAGGGAGGCCTCATGAGATTTTTTCAATGGTTGTTATTGTTGGTTCTTTAGCGTTTAATTGTGGTGATGATGGTGGTGGTGGTTTGTTTATTTAACCTCATTTATTTGGGCCCGTAAGTTTACTAATCGCAAGAGTCGTTGTCTATGGTATCTAGTATTTTTTGGAGTTAATTACGGATTCTACTCGGTTTGCATTGGCAGCTTTTCGCTTTTCCTCGTGCCTATAACATTTGTCTAATCCGGCCACCTGTGGAATTAGGCTGGTTAGCGTTATGGCAAACGATAATACTACACACGCTGGCGTACTCCCGTTCTCCATCGCTCCTCACCCTGGCTGGAGTTTGGCGCAAAATTATACAAGAACGCGAAATGATGCTCAATTAATGTAATCCACGGTAGACACAACCCAAACTATGCTAAACACTTGAACATTGTAAAAATATGAAAGATGGGTTTGTCCTTTGTACATATTTCAAGAACGTGAATTCACTGATTTACGTGGGGTTGTTATATTTTCTAGAAAGCAATGCTTATTGTAACTTGTACTAGGTTTTGAAATCAAGCGCTCTAAGTAGGGTCTTATTGGTTAAAAAAAATTGGGATCTGTGTATTAAATGTCTTTACTACGCCCAATATTTTATTCTTGTTTCACGCAATTTGCTTAAGTTCATGTCAATCATATGCTGGACAAGTGAAATTCGGCTACTTATGACGTCGAGTTTTCGGCTTTGGTCGTGGTAGTTAAAACAAACAGTAACGTAGAGAATTTCAAATCTCTCAATTTCGTGTTGGCACTTGTATTACAGCCGTTTTTTAGTCAAATCCCGTGCTTTTCATATTCCTCCATTTTCGTGTTGTCTAATCTATGAAAAGGCACAATCTGTTCATAGACTCAGCACGTTTGAAAAATTTTCTGTTCGTTTGCTATGTAAATCAGTATTACTAAAGCGTATTGAAGTTACCCTACCTAAAGCTTTATTTATTACGTTGCCATTTTTATGCTATATGTTTAGTCGGCTGTTATCCCTTAGAATTTAAACAGACGAATCACTTGCCTCTGCTCCTTTCATGTTGCTTTTCTGAATGCACTGCCTCCATTTTACTAAGTAAGGTTTTAGTGTAATAATTGAAGTAGGTTTGCTATTCAACTATTTTCGCCACGTTTAATTTAAATTAAGTATAGTCACAACTTTTAATATTATGATCTACGTTACTAAAGCATGAGCTTAATTTAGGTGACTTTTTCGGCAAGAAGGTACTAAAAATTCCCAGTCACTCTCCTGCATTGAGGATTCGAGGAAATTGATGCCTTTTAATAATACCCAGAGCATACAACAAATGATCAACGGAACTGGAACTTCCGCCTTTCACAGCCTTATTCACATGTCAATTCCTGTATTTACGGTAAAATGGTCCATTTAAATATAAATTTTATCAGCTCGTCGAAGATCCTCAGAAGTTGCCGGCTATCTCAATTTTAAAGCTACTCGCTTTGGCGAAATCGCCTCAACTTCTACCCCCTCCATAACTCGAGGCTGAGATGTCCCCTTGATTGTGTCAACTTCCGCTGCTCAAAATCAATGTCTTGTTGAAAAATTGTGCGCATCTAACTAGTAACAGTCTGTGTTATTGAACTTAGGTGCTGCTACAACTCTACTGATCTACCAGCCTGTTTATTTGTAAAGTCTATAGGAAAATGGGATAGTATAGTAGTATATCTGTGTGAAAAAGACTCGTCCATGTACTCTATAGAACGTACCGCCTCAACGCCTCATTTTAACATTCACTTCCCGAATCCGGGTTTTTAACATGTTCTGTGCTTAATTGTGCCGCAGCACTTGTCGCGAACCTCGGGAACTCAACATTTTTTTGCCAGATTGAACTCTCAGTGTCCTTTTGCAGCTTTAATTCCTTCCGATCGATGTTTGTAGATTTGCAGACAACCTCTGGTAGACCCGCTTGATACAAAATGCGGCCACACCTTCTGCACGCCCTGTCTGAAGAGTCACCTCGTGGTCCAGGCCCTTTGCCCAGAGGACAAACAAATAATCAACTACCTTGAGTGCCAGCAATCGTCAAACCTCGTCAAACGGTAAGCCTCCGGAATGTTCCACTCCTAGTGCATATCGCACTAACATCTGCTTCTAACAGATTCTTCTCCCCTGCTGAGCTGAAAACACCAGACTTGGAGTTTTTAGGGTACTATTTAATCACTTTCCCTAGCTTGCATCCCTAGCGTTTAAACTGAATTTGAAGCAACCTAGGTAGATTTAAGGTAAAGATTAATTCTCCAGAACTTGCAAACGTCCACCATGACTGGCCTCTAAAGTATCTCTGAAAATTTATTCCACTTACTACGTTCCCATCCATTGTGTTTGTACCGATTGTTTTGTCTGTTTATCTACCCCCAATCATTAGGCAGTTAAGTGCACTCTGGAGGCTTCTCCGATTTTTATAGAACTCAGGGGTTATGACCACTTCCTGCAAGGTTCGTGCAAAGTGAGGAATTTGCAAGCATTCTATGATTCTTGCCAAATGCTATCAAATCTGATGGTCCCTTAAATTTCTAACTAACCTCTCAAGAGGTCGGTTCCAAAAGTAGCTGCACTGTATTACTAGTGGCTTACTATTCTCGAAAGATTTGTGAGTGCTAAGTGGTCGCATTTTGTCCCAATGGACATATGATACGAGTAATACCCTAGGTGCTAAATCCAGCTTTCATTTTGTCCGTCCGCGTCAAATTATTCACAAACAACAACTAGTACATATAAATGGTCCAATTTTACTAACAAAAGTGCAAAACTAGGGTTCGACTTTGCTGCGGAGAAGTCGACCAGACTTGGTAAAATTTCCACTGCCAACTAATGTCCGCGCGCCAGTAGGTTACACAGGGACCAATGAACCTGTATTTTGGTGTTGGGAAACTGAACTTTTTGTCTGGACCGGTTTGTGCTCTCGTGGGTTGTGCTGTCCGTGTGTCTCACTTGAAACCAAGTGAAACAAGAGATTAATCCACTAAAATACTGACAACATTACGCAACACCAGCTCTAGCTGGGAATGAAACCACGTTCATCTGCATCTCTCAGAATCATACGCTTGGTTAAACAACGGCCGTTTTAACAACAATGCATCGCTTGCAAAAAGAAATCATGTGTTCCGTAGAAAGGTTGGTACAGACATTGTGCCTACTAAGTCAGCATTACAGTGCATCGGCCCATTTGGGTCGCCGTAGCAGATAAGCTCGGCTACATCACTTCAGAAGTGCCCATGATTAACTAAGTGGAAAACGCTTCCTTCACGTGTGGTCGGAGAAGGCACTGTGTTGGGGTTGGCGGTCTACCGTGAATGGGACGATTTGCTGAAACTAGTAAGTAGTGTGAAGAAGATCAATAGAGTGGACGCGTCTGTTTGTTTGTTCGCTAGTCCGAGTTTTGTGCTGTCAATCATGCAAAGTTACACACAACGACAACGTGGGTTTAACAGAGGGAACAAAGATCAACGCATGGAGCGAATCGCCGCCATTGAGTAAGAAAGTAAGACGGCAAAGTCGTCGCTGAGGGAGAAAGGCGTTTTTGTTGTGGAATGTCACCCATGGTGGCCCGTTTTTCGTCTTTTGGGAGATGCGACGAACCAGGTTCATTGGTCTGGAGTCGCCTCTAGAGGTCAGGTTGGCTAACCCGTTGCCGTGTTTATCTGTCGATGCATTTATTTGGAACAGTAAATGCGCCCAGAAGCCGACAATGAATTGAGACGGATAAGTCACAGTATCGTAGGGTCTTTTCTGTTCATTCACTTCCGGGGTCATTAATGTGTGCAAATATACATGATTCGTTTTTAGTTTTGAGGAAAACAACGTCGTTAGGAGGATGCTTGCTCGAAATTTCCCCTAACAACGTCTAAACCATCCATAAAACTTACCACACAGCAATTAGCAACATGTTCTGGGGGTGTTGACAAGGGAGCTTGCGTACGCAGTCGTTTTGAACCAATCGTTGCAGCGGACTGGATATCACTTTTTGTGTCCTCTCTCCGAAAAAAAGCAATGGTAAATTATTTTTATTAAAAAAAAGCATAATAGGGCCAGTGAAATTTAAAAAGCGGATAAGGAGGCAAAAAAGTGAATAGTAAGTACTTGAAGTCAACAGTCATTGGCGACAGGAGTTATTGGGAATGATTCAAGTCCACGTATTTTTGCATTGTATACAGTCCCCCGTTTCATTTGTATATGCGCGGGCAAGCAGGGCCGACTGCTTTTTTTCTTTTGCATTTGTTTTACCGTTATCTTTGAAAGACTCCTGGATAAATTGCTCGTCATCTGTCCTAACTCGGAGCACTGCGACGAAGTCCTTTCCCGCTGTGATCTGGAATCACATCTGACCTATTGGTGTCGCGGCACTGTAGTGCCGTGCTCAAACGCCAAAACGGGTTGCCAGTTTCGTGCTGCCCGCGTCCTTCAACCGGACCATCGCAGAGAGTGTCGTTTTCAGCCTCGAACTCCCGGAAACGCCAGTGGTAGTCCTGTTGTTCGACCAATCGCCACCAAATCCGTCGTTCGTTTTGGACCCATGCCAGGTAACGGTACAGTGACTGTACCTACACGGTATTTGCCCATTTCTGAAACCAATGAATTCATGTTCTTTTCTCCGTCTCAAATGCAATCTTTTCTCCTTATTTAAATCACTTTTCGAGTAAAAGCAGAAATTTGTTATTGTAAACTTTGCTCACAATTCTTTACTGCAACTTTATAACCAAAGGCTAGCACGGAGATCACTGCCTCGACAATCTGATGAGTACCGTCAGTAGTGCATTGTGTTCACCTCATGTTCGTAGGTAGTCGCTCTCCTATTTCTCTAACTTCTCTCAGCCGGCTTATTTGCCCTCGGTTATTCTCGATGCCACTTTACTTTTTAATTCAACATCGATGGTACGACAGACATTAAAGTTAATGATGCTGCGATTAACACGTAAGACTCTCTTAGTCGAAAGACTGGGTAGCTGAAGGCAGAGTTGTTCACCTTGCGTGTTCGAAACCGGGAGCCATCAAACAACGGTATCGAAACCTTGCACAAGCTAGTTCTATATTTTACCTACATATGACGTCATTTTATTTTGTACAATTACACGTCCTCTTATTCGGTTCAATGAAACGTTCATTCAGATTAGCTTCCAACTTCACTCTCAGATTTGTCTGACATTATACGCTAATTAGATGTTTTTTTTTTCAAATATTAACAATCTGAATGGCCTTTAAGGAGATTTTGATATTGAACGTATGCACACCAGTTGATACAGCCTCCTAGTAGCTGTCATTATTGTGTTGATTCTTTAACGGCAAGTCGAATAATAGTTACAACTTCCAGTGAACGGTTTCCCCTGCTCCCTAGAATTAATAGTTCTTTTATCGGTTGACTTTCAGTTCGTCGAGCTCCACCTGAGCAGCCGTTGATGTCTGGAGGCGAACCCGTCTTTGATGGTCAGCCCTCATCGAACCCCCCCTCTGCGATTTCAACAAAGGGGTCCACCTCAGTGACCCGATCAGCCTCTCCTATTCGCGACTGTGAGGTGACTACCATCGAATTGCCGTGGCAACCGAACGCCAGCCTCGGTATCAGCTTTGTTGGCGGGTCAGACACGCCTTTGGTGAGTTGATGTCTTTACGAAACAAGTTCGCAATTTCTTTGAATCCGCGTTACTACTAAAGGCGAAGTAAAGTGTGTCAATGTCCTGAGAATCTCCTTCATCAAAGAATGGTCCATGCTGGGTCACCTCTGCAATGTAACCCGAGATCAGGTCGAATTCCTCAAAGACTCATTTCACATAAAAGGTTCTGGATGTCGATTAGACCAGCGAGTGAATCGATTTTTTGTGTGTTCTGGTAGCACTAGGGATCAGTCATTGTAGCCATTAGCCTTTTTCCGGAAATGTGCCTATTTGTTGGTACTCGTAGCACGTCCGCCTCCGTTAATTTAAAGTGACAAATAAATTGCTATAAATTGTGTCAATAATGGTCCAAATTAAATGTAAAACACCACGAGCACTCCTGTCATAAATTTGTTAAATGTCACCATGATTTATCTTTATAAACTCAGTGTGGCCAAAAATAGTGTAAAATCTCGATGTATTTTCGAAATCAATTGTGTCGAACTTTACTTCACGGTACCTTGTTAATTTTAAGGCATTTATACACACCACGTTTTCAAAGTGTACTGAATCTCGCAGGGAGTACGTGCATTGAGTTCAGGTAATGGTATTATTTGCTTCGTCCGCACAGTTAAATACGTTTTCCAGTATTCCGTATTTTCACAAAACAACTCAAATGTTCAAAGGGGTTTCCAAACGGATAGTTGCAGTCTTGTATACTTATACACGCTTTCCAGTGGGTTGTTTTTCGTTTATATAATATGTTACTCTATTAAACGCGCTTTAGTCTTTGATTTCGTCGACAAAATTCACTTAACATTATTACATCACTTGCTGTTTTTGACGTGGACAAAGATAGTCGCTGATTAAATTTTGGTTGAATTCAACTTCATTTTAAGTATGCCAGTGCCAACCTAGTTTGTGTTACTGGACTAACGGCGCCCGTGGTGGAATTCCATTATTATACTCCGTAGTCGCCACGCAAGCCTACTTATATTTGCCCTAGCGTCTTGCAAACTGGTCCTCTCACTGCGAATCGTCCCCTATGTGGTACAAAGTTGTAAAGCACTTCAGCAAACACTTCTCGTGTGTTGTTATTTTTTGGTAAATGGTTGAAACCCTCGCGTTTTTCGTGCTCCATTAATTATTTTTACGCTCTCTGCGAAAATGGCAATTTCATTTGATCGTAGAAAAGGATGCTGTCTCTATCAGCTGTTGCCAGTCGCAGAAATTTAGCCCTTGTGGAGGCAGTCATTTTCCGGCCGGCGTTATTGTGTCAGCCCAGTTCTCCGCGCTCAACGTTTCCCAGGCTTGTGCTGCTCCGGAGTGTGCCCTCCCTCTAATGACATCGTTATTGTCGTGATTTTGTTCTTGCAATTGGAGGGTTATGTTCTACATCATTCGCGCTGTGTAGTGTAGACATAATTATATTCACGTCTCATAGGAAATTGAATTTCTGTTCTGTCAGCTATAGCATTTCAATGTAAAAATTGTTTGTTTGACTTATTTACTACATTTTATTTATTTTCGCCAACACTATGATCTGTTTTTTGTGTTTTTATGTTTTAAGCTGTGTATCGTGATACAGGAAATATACCTAGATGGAATTGTCGCAATGGACGGCCGTCTTCGACCCGGAGATCAAATTCTTGAAGTGAGTCACGGGCCTGTTTTAAAATCTCCATAGTGCCCCTGCCACCGTACCAATGAGTTCTGTTTTTATGGGCTGGTTGTTAAACATTTTCCCTTGCTTTAGCATCGTTTTTATACATACTCACTGTGTAAATGCACCTCAATACGATTAAAATTTCGGAAGTTCAGCTTAGCGTCTTTGGTCTCGCTGTCATTTCATACGATTTAAAGTTTTGCAGTCAGTTTTGCAGCCTTGCCCACTTAATACTTCTGGTGGCCCGGCTCTTAAGAATCTTCGTGTTTCTGCTTTTCTCCATGTCTATGCTACTGTCTTAACACATCCACTTAACAAATTAAGCCCCATTCAACTTATCCTATCGTGTTTTTTAATACCACATCTTCCCGGAAGCAAATTTAACTCTCATTGTATCATGTCAAGTCTTCCTTTATTAATTTTATGTATTTGTTGTCGTCACTACGTCGTAACGTAATCCACTCCTATAGTGTATTCTTTTGAATGGCAACTGTGAAGTGTCTAACGAAATTCACGGAAGGTGACTCACAGCAATTAGACAACAGGAAGGGTTAAATTTTGAACCGGCCACGTCGTCCAGGCAAAAGACAATCTTCCAGGTGAAGTCCCTCTCCTAGGATCTTGCCAGGGCCAAAGTAACTTCTAGTCAAACACTCAGAATTGGGAATATTTGCATTAAAAAATTTCCGGGTAGTAGTACGTGGCTAGTTCTAGCGAGCCAAATAGTCATCTTCCAAAGTATGTCCGTGTCTAGGCGTTGTTCCATAGTTGTCATTTTTAATAGGGAAAGATTTACTTCAGTTAAAAAGATGCGTGGACAATGTGCGGAATCGTGTGATTCTTATGCGACAGATTTTGAAAGAAGCTGGGCTTCTGCGTAGTCACGCTTGCAGAGAAAGTGTGGTTGCCCAGTTCTGTTGGACACCGAAGTCGTCTACGTCAAGCGCAAAATATATCAATCGCACCATCAACCATGGTGTGTCATGTGGGGGTATGTGTGTGTGTGTGTGTGTTTTGTGTTACCCAAACAACAATAAGGTATCAGCTAAAATACTCTCACGACAGCAGACATGTTGGGAAGCGAAACGTACTGGTTGGTATGGCACAGAGCATGACTCATCGAGGGTACAGAATTCGAAATGACGCGAAGAGAGTGCGATTGCCTTTAAATCATGCTCGATTGCCGATTCATCGCGTTAATCAAAATATCTTGATAAATTTCGGGGACTTGGGTCTTCTCCTGTCCACTTAGCCACCTTAGAGCGCTGAAACTGCCGTCAAATTAGCTGTCTCCTTAGGGTCACAATGAGAGCTCTCAACGAATCCAGATCAGGAGTATAGTTTAAGCGGATTAAGGTGGATGTACGATTATGCATGCTGGCTCAGCTCAACCAAGCCCCCAGCGTCGTCGACATTTATGCGAAGGCCGTTGAGCAAATTATCAAGAGACTGGTTATCATGTGTTTTTGTCTGAACATTTTTGCGGTGTTTCATTGACAACTTTTAGACTCGCATCCGGTATCCTTTAGTGTTCTGTAGTTTCCACTGCTTTCCCTTTACAATTATAGATGAAATTCTAAACCTTGATCCGTCAGCCGGGTCATTCTTGATTTGAAATAAGGTCCTTGTGTGGTCATTTGAAACAACGCCTGGATTTTGTTCCCTTCACCACACATTCCACCTGCCGTTTTCCTCCGTTATGCTTTCTCCAGCTCTAATGTTTTTTTCGTAATTCCTAGCTGTACCAATTCTGGCATTGCCAATTTTCACGTGTTATTTTTTCCCAGGACTACGCGTTGGTCACTTAATTGACTCACTATGTTTTTTTATTGAAATGCCCTTCTTTTTGTTTCGTGTAGGCCAATGGAATCGACCTGACTCAGGCCACTCACCACCAAGCTCGTACAGCTCTCACGTCGATTGGGGGAGTTGCCAAGTCGTCGTTCGAGCTGACGGTCTATCGAGAACGCGCCGCTTCAGATTTGGGTAGCTCTGCCAGCTCAGGCAAACGGCCAGTTGGACTAGAAAACCCGTTTGAACGGGAAGGTAGGTGTCTGCCTTTTATTTCCTTTGCGAATCACTTGTGACTGGGGGCCAATGAAAGGCAGGAGTTATTGGCAGTTACAAATCAGCTGCTCGAGCGACCTCTTATTCATCCGCGTCCGCTTACAGTCCACTACAAATAGCTTTCTCAACCGCGTCGTACCTATGTTTCCTGATATATTTTTTTCATGTTCAACTAAACCTTGCTTATTTGAGCGTCGCTATATTGACCGGGTCAAAAAAATGTGGACATTTTGGTCGTGTTGTATTGATTGTGTGGTTCCCTGTGTATTTTCATGTTAGTTGATCCCTTTCCACCGTGTAACCAATCGGCAAATCCAAAGACGTGCAACTAAAATGCTGAATAATTTTGAAACCGCTTTCTTCCCTGAATTGTTCAACTTCCTTAATTTCCCACCCCTTACAGGCATCATGCACCTGTAAGTTTTACCTTCTGCTTAACTCAATTTTCAAGGCAGTGTTTAGCGTCTTGTTTTCTCGTGGCAATATTAACTTCACAGCCTGCTCTTAAGGCTCTTTTTGATTTCACTTTAATCATCTTTTTTAGAAATCCTTCATATTACACTAAGGAAGCGCCTCGACAAACGACTGGGAATCAAATTGGTCGGGAAAAAGTATGCAGTTTCGCTTAATTCATGTGGCTTCATTATTTGGTGCATTAAACTCCCAAGCAAACATGCTACTGCGTACTGGATGCATAGTTTGGCGCGGCCTTGCTCAAAAGCAGATTCAAACGAGGAGGTCTGTAGAACAAAACAGGCGGAGTTTTCCTCAGTCTTTTATAACCGTATAGCAGGTTATGGACTTATCTTCACAGTTGGCTAGAAGCTAAATGTAGATACTACCTTTGATCGACGCCTAACTAGCTAAAACGGCTAACCACTACTACTACATAAGAAGCATGACGGAGGTTCGTCTAAATTCTGAAAGCAGTTGAATGTAAACAACAACACTTTCTGAACAACTGATTCTTTTTTGCTTTCATTGATAATTGGTCGACGTTGTCCGGGTTAGGAAAACTAGGTCTATAGGTACAAAATAGAGCGTAATTCAAGATGAGTAAGTTGTTTTCGGGCATGTTTGACTTCGGCTCTCTAGCAGACACTAGGGCCCAAGTTGCAGCATGACTGTTTTATTCATTTCACAGGAACCTGCCTGGCGTGTACATTTTGGGACTAGTTCCAGACAGCGAAGCTGACTTGGACGGCAGACTGTACAAAGACGATCGCATCCTCGAGATCAATGACGTCGACTTGAGAGAAGGTACTCAAGAAGAAGCGGCCAATGTTATCCGTGTAAGTTTGGCGTCTCTCACAAGATAGTCGTGAATTTTGTGACAATGTGCTGACTTCCTGTTGTTTGTCGAAACATGCATTTTACCCTTGTCCAGGTACGCGGGGTTTTGGCGGCAGCTTTGGTCCATTGGATGTAAAGTACGCTTGAAATCCTCCACTAGCCACTAACCGATGAAAGTGCTCCTTTAATGAAGACAACTAACTACTATTTTCATCGAGACATGCGGTACACAACCATTGTGAGGTTTCGTGTGATTGCAAACCGTCACAAGGTACCGGCAATACTTTTTTTCGTCCAAGCTGGTTAAACAGTGTGAAACTAACGGGAATAAACCAGTTTTGATCCGACCGACAGCTGGCTATGCGATACCTGTATGGCCTAGATTTTAGGACTATCCGCATGAATTAACCATCACCAATTCTCACAGATTCTTCAAATCTCGAAAATTTTCTTTAATTCACTTCTTGCGTGATTTTTTCATAAATGTCACCAATTACCGGAACTCGTGTGTTGGGTGGATTGTTTCCGTGCCTTGCTAATTGATTTTGATTGCCAGCAATACGTGTAAAATTCATTCGTGGCTGTTTTGCTACACAAAATCCCCCTCTTTTGTCCATGGAGTATTTTTTTCTTACTGATGTCCTGGTGGTTATGCAAAGTTGTTTTAATTAACACTTCGATTTTGTTTTATTTTCTCTTTTTGTTTCCTTCAACTAAAAACTACTTTCCACTCTCTCTTTTCGGAAGGTGGATCTGGCACTCATCAACCCAATTTCAAAATTGATTTTTTGCGCCTCAACATTAACTTAACGCTCGCTTTAAGACCGATATTTTCATCGAATTAAGTTGGAATCTAGTCTGGTGCCTTTTCTTCTGCTTATTTATCTGCTTTACTGCCAGTGCCGGATAACCCTAACCAAGTTGCATTATTAAATGAGAAGACGCTAAGGCAACTATTGTGCTCTGCTTACCTCCTTCCTTTTGCTCTGCAGACGGCTGAGGGACACGTTGCTCTAGTTGTGGCTCGGATTGTTCGACCGCAGACCCCCGACATTATTCGAACAGCTAGTGGTGAGATTTTTATGGATTTTGGTGGATCCAGTCTGAGCACTCGCTCAGCCGGCACTGTGGTACCACCTCCCGTCTCTACAACCAGCAATCTCCTGCCAAGCTCGGCTCTCTCTCACAGCCTTAAATCGCCCTCAACACGACTTTGTCGCGAACAGGTGCATTGGCAATTCATCATATCCACTTCTGTTGTGACGAGTATTTAGGTTTTTATTAAAACAACTAGTAAATTCTATTGCCTTTTAATGATTACGCCAATTTTCTACTTGAGGTTACAAAATGATCCTTATTATTGTTGTTGATAAGTTTGTTCCATTTCTAACAGACATTTGCCTCCCTGCTTGTTAAAATTGGTGGCTTCAATGAAAAACATTCTCACTGTTTAGTGTTATTGCCTGGAGCACGTGTGTAGGCCCTTCCGCGATTAACATTTCCTGTTGACCTGAAAAGGTGCAAGCGCTACAAGACATGATCTTGGAAATATCATAAGGCAGGAATCGCCGCTCGATTGCTCGGAGTGGCTCTGGCTTGGTACTGTGGAGTCTTACGTTGTCATGTTGGAGGGTGTTTTCATTTCAAACAATCGCATCGGACGTTTTGTTTTTATTCTCTCAAGCTGTTTATGTGTATATGAGGTCATGTTTAGACTAATACCAACATTAATTTTGTTATTCTAAAATAGCTGCCTTGATTTGTGTGGCTTCTGCTTTGGTAAACTCGTATTTCAAACGTTTATAATTCGTCCTTTTTTGTATTGGATTGAGCAAATGCTAATATTGTCTAGAGGGTATATGGAATTGAGTCTGTACAAATTTTGCAGGAGATCACCGTTGAGAAGTTGCCGGGAGAATCCTTGGGAATGTCAGTTGCTGGAGGAGTGGCCAGCCAACGTGGAGACACCCCGGTGTACATAACCAACCTTGTTCCCACCGGTGTATTGGGGCGAGCTGGTCAGCTGGTCAAGGGGGATGTGCTTCTTGCTGTGAATGAGGTTGAGCTACTCGGATTGTCCCACGAAAAGGCCGTTGAAGCCCTCAAAGCCACGCGAAAGTCGTGCACGAAGGCGAGTTTACTTTATCCGACAAATACGAATTCAATGATATGCCAATCGTTCATTATGGAGGAATTTTGTCTTTTTCTTTGTATCAAGCTGTCTGTTCTTTGAATCCCTCGCAGGAATCTAAAACAACGGCTTATTCGCAAAAAATTGCTCTTTTTACAAGTTCTTTCATTCAGATATAGCAAACTTTTAATTTGCTCAGAAGCTCCTTTTCTGCGTCTACAGGTGACCATCCGAGTTCTTGAGGGCCCTGAGACAGGATCAGGGCGCGAAAACTTCCTACCCAGTTGGCTCTACTGGCTTCAGCTGCCGCGGTACTGTCAGATACCACGCACAATTGTCCTTCCCCGCACCAATAACGGCAGTCTTGGCTTTAGCATTGTCGGCGGGAACAGCACTAGTGGAGATCTCGCCTCATCTCCCCAGGCTGCCTTCTCTCGCGTAAGTCCCTTTTCCCCCTTTTGATGCCTCACTGCTCAATAAACAGTAAAATCTGACCCTTACGGACGAGTTTACCTGTAGTACGTCATGACTCCCTTCGGCTTTTTCTGTAACCTTAACTTTCTGAAATGAATTTTTTTTACTGACATGAGACTCTATTTGTCCAAAACAACAAGAGGCACAAACACCACAGATCCCTCGACCCAAAACTTGTGGTGTAATCTTCGCTGTAGAATGACAACTCGATTGTTATGTAATCTAAAGATGCTTACCATGTGCAGACTTTTGTTAACCCAGTTGCTTCTGTTTCCTTGTCGGTCTAAATTGCCGCAGTATCACGCATTGAAACCTAACCACCGGTCACCCCGTGTGTCTTTTGTCGATCAGATACGCTACCTCTAAAAACGAGTTCGACCAAAAAATATGAATTCGCATCGTTTTGTAGGTTCAACCCGGTGATTCCGATCCAAGGCAGCCGCCCTCCGTTGCTTCGTCCCCCCAACCGATCGTCGTCAAGTCAATCGTTCCTGGCACTCCCGCTCATCGAGATGGACGTCTAAAGTGCGTCATTCGGCGTTCAAATTTTGGGCGTTGGGTTTGTGGCATTCGCTTGCTCCACTTTCACGCACACATCGTCCACTTGTCGGTTGTGTGTAACGCTTGGACCTTCGATGGTTCATATGACACGAGCTTCAAAGCCTTATTTGGAGGGCCAATGTTAAAAGACTTGCTTAATTCAACCATTGTCGCCTAACTTTTACTCGGCAAGTTCATGACTTTCACTGCGCGGATGATTCTTCGTGCTGTACTGCTATTATTGCGATTTTAATGTTCTAAATGCCTCGCGGCAGTATTGTAATTTTGTATTGCTCATAGCAAGAGCATTTGTCTCATCACTCACCGACAACTGTTCTGTCTTTACTTCTTATTAGTTGTTTTGCTTGCTATCCTAGTGGATCTTCCCTGTACATTTTAGATGCGGTGACCTCATTCTAGCGGTGAACCAGTATCCCCTCACCGACGTATCCCATGCGCACGCAGTGGCCCTTCTCAAGCATTGTGTTGGTGACGTACATATTCGGGTTGTATCATGGCCTGGTACCATCGTTTGACGCACCTTTTTGTTCATTTTATCTTGCTCTTCAATCTCATATCTTTTATCCTGACATATAGTCTCATGTACCTGCGCCAGTTACGATTTCTTTTAATTGCTTATTACCGCCGAGAGGATATCGAGATAGAGGGATGTAAGTTCCGTTTGCTTGCATTTTTACTTAAGATCGTGGTTATGGGGAGAATTAAACTCCTTTTGCTAACTTTAACCCCTGATGGGCGTTTTTTCCCAAATCTTACTTTTTCCGTTGCGTCATTTTAACCGATTACAGCGAATCGGGTGGCGAGAGTCAATCGGTTGTCTCACATCGCACAGCGCATCTTGGATCCTTGGCAGGTTACTAGCACCTGTGTAGTATTTTAGTCCGTGTATCCAGGAACCGGATGAAGTCATGTATTACTCCGTGGATTTGTAACAAATTTGATGCAGTTCGAATAGAATACCAGAAAACAGTTGGATTTTCTTACCGCTTACTTGAGTTTGAACATATTGAGTTCGAGAGATAGCGTCTAACGGCATTAAACGGATATAACAGTAAAGTAATTACCGTCGCTATATTTACATTCAAAGTTTATTTTAGGGCGATGTTTTCTACGAACAATTAGTAAATGCTAAATGCAAGTGGCAAATAATCGATAAATTACTAGTCAATGTGTGAGGAAGCACCATTAAATTCGCCCAGATAGATAAGCTGCAAATGGCAAGATTTAAATTTGTCAGCCGACAGAAAGCTAAGGCTCAACAGGTATTCTCAGATACACAGTTTTAGATGGCACTGCGAAAACAGCATCCAAACTTCGTTTCTGTTAATCAGTCTTCGTACATTTTCCCCTTGGAAGCATGACGCAAAAGGTTCTCTCATAACCATTGACGAGGATCAGCCGAAGTAAAATTGTAACCACAGTAGCAAGCAGAAAATCATCGTCAAAAAGGTACCACGATAAAGGAACGTAATTCTGTCCGGCTGACTAAAAAGCTAAGTGAAATTCCACAAAAAGCATTCACGTGCCTTTTGGGAAGCGTGCTTCATCTAAACATAATGTAATGCACAATTTAAAACCATCTACTTGATCAATTTTTGTTAAATTAAAAGCAGACAGAAGGATTCTAATTAGGGTATATAAGGAATTCTGGCGTGCTATTCAATTTTCCCCTTACCGTCCCGTCGAATTTGAATAATTTTACTGTTCAAGTAACAGCCCTAAAGTACACCAGCAAAGATTTGCGTGTTCGATGTGTCCGCCAGCTGTGAACTAACATTCGCGATTGTGTATGCTTTTCCTTAAAAAAAGTAGACAAGGCCAATTTGTTTGCGTAGGTCCTGGCAGACTTGAGTGGCGGTGGCGGCATCAGCAACAGCAACACTTTTAAAATATCCACAGATGATTGTAACACAAAATTCAAGCAGATGTTAGTCAGAGCAGTAACAAATGACCCAATCAAGGCGTTACTAAATCTGCCTTACTTTGGTTTCATTCAACAGGTGACAACGCACTGGTCTTTCATTTGTCCAATGTGTTCATCAACGTTGTTCAGTCGCAAGTCGCACAACAGCGCGAGGTCTGACTGCATCAACCAATTTGCCAAGGTGTATGGCTACAATCCACTAATCTACACACAGTATCGAGCCGACTCAGTTCTCTTTAAGACGAACCTTCCAGCTGGCATGCAAAAGTGCTTCAGATGAGCAAAATAAAAAGTGTTAGCTATAATTATTGTTGCAAAAAATTCATTTTAGTAACACGGGTTAGCTTTAACTAAATATTTTACCTAAAAATGTAATTCTTTAATGTTTTGTTTTAATTGATATTTCATGGCAAGACGAATTTGAGAGCTGTTCAAGGTTGGCAAGTATATTTTTTTCTAACGCTTGTAATGATCCATTTTCGCTCGATGACAGCAGTAAATCTTTGAGTCCGAATGTTTCAGCCTGGTTGTAATTTCGTTCTAAATTGTCCAAATGTTAAACAGTGTGTCGTTTGTTGCTGTTATTTTTTCGTATTAACTGCTAAATTGTCAATTGAATCGGGTTGTCATTTTTCTCCTGGTTTGTGTATGTGAGGGAGAGATTGGGAAGCAATTTTTATTGCTTTTTTTATGGAGGATTGGGGCGAGGCTTGCTTCGTTTTCAACAGATTAGTTTTTTTGCTTAGTGTGAAGAATATTTGGATTGATAGCTAAGCCAGTCAAGAATCTACTAAAAAATTAGTTCCTTTACTACGAAAGGCGTGAACAGCCATCTGGAGTTAGGTATGCGGGTGACTGGTTCATTGAAGGAACGCTGCTGTCACATTGGTACGTTAACGTAGGGTCTATGGCGGCGCCGGTTAGTCCTAAGAAGGTTTTTCAGTTTGCGCACGGTTATCAAAGCGCCAGCTAAAGTTAGTGTTCCTTAGTGGTCTTGGGCTCTGAAGTCGTTGGCAACATTCTAAAGACACCGGTTTGGATGCATCAGTACTTTGTTAATGCATGTGTTGGTGGTCTCTTAACGTGGTGGCGGAAAGGCTGTGTAGAATGTTGTTTTCAGGAATAGGTATAATTATTTTGATATGTGGGAAGTGGCCTACGAAGATTTTGAAGCGCTTTGAGATGATAAATGCAAGATTTTGAGGAGTGGGTTTATGTTTGTTTGTGGTCGTCAGTCACCTGCCCTTCCTTGCGTAAACATTGAACAGTTTTGATGTTACAGGTCGTTCTGTGTTTTTAAGCTAAATAGGAATCTTTGTTGGGAATTGATTGATTTATGCAGGTTTTTCATGTGTGACAAATGTGTAGGTAGTATTTCGGGGATGACTTTTCCAAGCGCCTCCCTAGGCACACCGCCACTTTTCAAGGAGTGTCACCTGTTCTCGTTGGCATATAGGTCCAACTAGAGATAAATGAAAGCTTCCTGAAAGTGAACCTAGTATTTTCAAATCGATTTATTTGGTTTAGTTCCTTGCTTCGATCGCACAATTTCGGGAAGCTCTTACTTGACGACCAGTGCTTTTGTGCAATTGTGAGTGTAATCAAACATCTTAACTGTAAATCTTGTGATGTAGTTTGTG